GAGCTGGCTTTTGGCTTCCGAGTCCAGTTTAATTTGAGATAGATTTAAAGGAAATTAATCTTTGAAAGGCAGCTACTGGTATAAATGCCATAACACAATCACTTATGTGATGCTTGCAACGATCTGCATTTGCCAAATAACATTCATCTGAGTTAGTAAGATGGAATATCAGTTTTGTTCTGCTGTCTTCCCCTCCATTTCCTCACTCCCTCCCTCACTTCAGCATAAGCAACAAAGATTTTCCTTCCACCCTCCTTCCCAAATTATGCGTCTTTATAGCCCTGCTGGAAAAAAGAAGATCTAGATGTAAAAAGATCAAAATGAAAATCAGCATGTGTCTAAATTCCAAGAAAACCCTTGGAAAAAAACAAAACACATGCTAATCTCAATTTACTTCCAGCCAAGCATGTCTAACACTCAGCAATTTTAAAAAAGGTGTGAATTTACTCGATTTTATATAAAACATTCCATATATATCTCCTATTTTGAGCTTTGTTTGTGCCAGTAAATTACATACACTGGCACAAAAATCAATTATAAGTAGCTTGAACTGGCACAGTTATGATCAAACCACACTTAATTTGTGTTTGTAATTATCTTAAAGTAGAGCAACACCTGCACACCTGTGGTGTGGGGAGGTAGGGTATCATTTAGATTAAGATACTCTATTGTTAATTGTGATATTTGATGTGTTACACGCTCAGTGAGTAGTCAGGGCCTGCAGAACAAACACTTTTCAGAAGTTCCATAAAACTAAACTCTTCCTTCCTTCTCTGAAGGATCAGAACTAAATCACCTCAAAAAGAGACCCTTGAGGGGCTGGGGGGAGGAGAATGACAAACAAATAGAAATCCAAGAGATTAAGTTTAAATTTTTGAGTTATCACATATAGTTTGAAAACCACACACCAAAATCTCCACTCCGGGGTGAAACCTGTTTCCACACTTGTAGAGCTAAATATAGAGATGAGATATATAACTAAGATAAAAAGAAAAATCAAACTTCCACAAGGAATAATCTCCATGCAATGAACCACAGCACCACAGCCTGCACAAGTCACTTACTTTTCTCCGAGAGTCACCCGGAGGCTGCTCTGGAGTAAAGAAATTAATTGTTCACCATGTTGTGTTCAACAGATACCCATTAAATTATAGCTGGAAAACTAAGTAAATAACCCTAGATGACCCTTTTCAATATCAAATATACATGATTTTCTGTTTTATAGAAAGACAATGTGCACACAAAATTGCAGCACTAGTCATACTGCAGTACAGGATCAAAGAGATTCACATAGTGCTACTGTCTGTATATTTGACATAAATGTAAGGTGACAATTTTTTTTTACTGTAACTCTAAGTATTAACCTTCTGTCATGTCCCGTATTGCAGGGGGGTAGGACATGGTGATCTTTAAAGGTTCCTTCCAACCTGAACAATTCTATGATTATAAACACATTCTAAGATGACTCTTACCAACAGAAGAAACTACCTAGTATTATTTAAAGTAATAAAAATTCCTTTACTCCCCCTGGAAATTCAAATCTAGACACAGGTCCTATGCTCTGTTTTCCGTGTCATTGATCAGGAATTCTGCATCCTCGTGGGCAATTTGTTTGTTATGCAAAAGCAGAGCACAAACCTGTCAGCTCCTGCTTCTGGGGAGCCATCAGCAGTTTCACAATCCATTTTTACTCAGAAAATTATCATTAACCTTCTCAGACCCCAAATTCATCTTTTGCATATGAAAAAAAATGTGGTTATGCTAAGCAATACATAACTATTTTAGAACTGTTATCAATATGGAAGTGACTTCCAAATAACTTGCTACATCCTGGACACTTCCATGTTACATTTCTGTAATGTAAGCTGCCTAGGCAGCTTGAACACCTGGACTGACAATGAGATTTAACCATCTCTTTGAGTGATAAGATACATCTTTGCTACCAAATCACCAAGCTTTACAGCTAAAAGAAAACATTTCTAGCAATATCATTTAACAAGAGGAAAACTTACCTCCAAACAGCTCGAACTCTCTTAATCCCTCAACAATGAACTTCTCAGACACCCACCGCTGAAAGAAATAAAAATTCTCCACACAATCACTTATTCCATCCAGAGAAAAGTTTCTCTTCCCCTTCCCCACAAGAACAAAAACCCCAAATGTCAATGATTCTGCTGTGGTCTGAAATGGATTTGTTGCATCAGCAGTGACATCCTTATTTTGGACAAGGGTATTCCCTTTTTAGGGCAATGACGTGCATCCAGCAACCCCACAGGTGTTGTTGCTATTCCCAATCAACATGCACTTACAATAAAGTTAATATCATTTAATCCATTCTAACAAGTTTTTATACATGCACATACAGCAAAAACAATCAAGATGCAACAACCCCTTCATACAGCCAAATAAAAGATGGATTTTTAGGTGTAAGAGGTTTTAAAATATGCTTTCACTATTTACAAAGAGGTGGTGTCTTTGAGAATTCAAATATTTGGGTTGTATATCTATTGACTGAATGCAAAACTAGAACATAAATATGCTAAAGCTGTTGTTCTCTTCCAGAATTCATGTCTGAAATTCACAGCAAGCATTAGGTTGTGTAGATGAGTGTTTCCACCACTGTCTAATACTGCAGTTCAAATAATATACATATATATGCACACAGGACACAAGAGAATAGGAGATTTTAAGCTTGCAGAGTGTTGATCATGAAGGTAAATCATTGATCACAAACACTCCCATGGCAGAATTTGCTACTTGCAAAAGATTTTAATAAACACTGATGTTATTTAGTGCATGGGAAGCTGGTCCTGGAGAGCACCAAGGAGTCTTTAGGTGATGATGACCCAAAACTTGTATGTAAGAATACCATCTGAACGCATCAGAAGTGTTCTGCTGCTGGAAACGTCCTCATTTTCTGCTGAAAAGCAGAATCAAACAAAGCTGTTGTGTTTAGCTTTGCGAGCAAAGTGAAGGGAAAAAAAAATAAACTGTGACACAGGTGAGGAGGGTACTTTTTAAAGAACGACTGAAAATAAGCAGCTTTATGGCCCTTTTTCTTCACTGCAAAGCCCATCAGAGTCCCTCTGCACTGCACCCCAAGGAGATACAGGTGTATGTGCGAGCGTAAAGGCTTTAACACAGGGTTTGAACCCTGACCCGCGTCTTGTTACCAAGCCTATGATCAGTTTTCCTGTGCCCTCATGGTGCTCTCCAAGCCCGGCCACTCTGCACAAGCGTCAGACTCGTTCTACCGAGACGCGAGGGAAGCGGGAAGGTCTTCAACACTCACCCTAATGCGCTCGGGTTTACTTACAAGGAAAGACATGGATCCGCCGCTGTGGGGCAGGCGCAGCAGGACGGGTGGCACACCTGCGGGCACGGGCGCGTCACCCCTCAGCGAGCACCGAGCCCCTCACCTGCCCGCGGCCCGGCAGCCCCGGCGGGCTCCGGGAGAGCGGTAACCCCGGTAAGCACCACCGGTACCCCCACAAAGCGCCGACACCCCCGAACTACCGCGGGCCCGGCAGCCCCAGGACAGCCCTGGGAGAGCGGCAGCCCCGGTAAGCGCCACCGGTACTCCCACAGAGCGCCGACACCCCCAGGACAGCCCCAGGAGAGCGTAACTCCGGCAAGAACTGCCCAGAGGCCCCCAGAGCAGCGGCCCCCTGGCCAGCCCCGGGCCCTCACCCGTGCGGGGCCGTCCCGGCCCTCCCGCGCCCCGGCCCCTCCCGGACCCCTCACCCGTGCGGGCCCTTCCCGGGCCCCTCACCCGTGCGGGGCCCCTCACCCGCGCGGGGCCGTCCCGGCCGCCCAGCCCCGCTCCCCTGTGCCCCTCCCGGACCCCTCACCCGTGCGGGGTCCCTCCCGGGCCCCTCACCCGCGCGGGGCCGTCCCGGCCGCCCAGCCCCGCTCCCCTCCCGGGCCCCTCACGGACCCCTCAGGCTGCGGCCGCCGCTCACCGGCGAGATTCGCTGCGCGTGACGTCACCGCGCCGACGCGTGACGTCACGGCTGCGGTGCCGCGGGCGGCGGGGAAGGAGCCGGCGCCATGTTGGGTCCCTCAGGGGAGCGGGGCAGCCGCGTCCTGAGCCTTGGCCGCATCCCAGCACTGCGGGCCGGGACACAGACCCCCTGCAAAACAGCTGGGGGTGCTGGCTGACGGGCGGCTGAACGTGAGCCCAGTCGGCAGGAAGGCCAGTGCCACCTGGCTTGTCAAAACGTCAGCAGGACCAGGGCAGGGATTGTCCCCCTGTGCCAGGCACTGGTGAGGCCACACCTCAAGTGCTTGGTCCAGTTCTGGCCCCCTCACTTTAAAAGGATACCGAGGGGCTGGAGCAGGGAAGGGAACGGAGATGGCAAGGGTTTGGAGCCCCATGAGGGCTGAGGGAGCTGGAAAAAGGCTGAGGAGAGAAAAGGAGGCTCAGGGGGGCCCTTCGGGCTCTGCACAGCTCCTGACAGGAGGGGACAGCCGCGGGGTCAGGCTCTGCTCCAGGGAACAGGGACAGGAGGAGAGGGAACAGCCTCAGGCTGGGCCAGGGGAGGCTCAGGTATCAGGAGGAATTTCTTCACAGAAGGGGTTCTTAAACATTGGAACGAGTGTCCAGGGAGCTGGCGGAGTCCCGATCCCTGTCCAGGGAACACTCGGTGCTCTGGGGCTGGGTGACAAGGTGGGGATCCGTCACAGGTTGGACCATCTGGGAGGTCTTCTCCAAAGGGATCAATCCTGTGGGTCGCTGAGAGAGGGGCCAAGGCTGTGCCCGGGCAAACCCTCCATGTCAGCCCAGCCCAGGCTGCCCAAGGGGGAGAAAACTCCTGCAGCTTTCCCCAGAGCACCAGCTGCTCCTGCTGCTTACAGCTCTGCAGCCTTCCCCAGCAGGAACCAGCTCCACCACAGCAGCACCAGCTCCTCCTGCTGCTTACAGTCTTCACCAAAACTCACCAGGACAAAGGAGGCTTTCAGAGCCTGCTAAATGAAAGGAACACTGAGACAAGCCAAGTAAAGCAGGAGTGTTTCAATTATATTTTACTCTTCATTAGATTGTTCATTTGAATGTTTGTATTATAAAATTAGCTGCCACGGCCCACAACTGGATGGGACTTCAAGAAAGCTCTGCTTACTCAAAAGAGCACAAACTAGTATTTCCTTTCAAAGAACTCTGAGAAACAATAACATATTAATCTTTAAAGCTAAATAGTGCTAAAATTTCACATAATCTACATTAGTTTTGGTTTTAAATAATTTTACCAACCATTATAAAATTAATGTATTTGCACGTATCAGGTTACATATATTTGCATTTCAATCAGGGTGAAATATCCCGTGCTGGAACAAGGAGTTTAAGCAATTGCTGTTTCAACAGCAGCTAATTCTTATTGCCTCAGAACCAAGTTTCCATGAAGTATTGAACAAGAAAATGCAGGACATTGCTTCCCCACAAACTGTCAAAAGTCTGTTACAAGCAACAATAAAATGCCTTCTGGACAGGAAGCATTTATAAAATGCAGAGCTCTCCCAGCGAAGTGCTTACACAGGGCATTCACTTCATTCTTGCCATTTAGATTCAAAACCCTGAAGAGATCACTGACCAGATGAAGAGGAGGAAATAGCCTCTGAATATCCTCTGAAACGGTTTCACTGGCCTGGGGAGATGAGGAATTGCAGGTACTCCAACAGATCTGGCTCCTGGCTGAAGTGAACTGGGCAGCAGCTGCTGAGATCAGGAGAGAAGGGGTTGAGGCAAACTGGAACTGTTAAAAATACTGAAGGAAAGCTGGCTGAACTGCTAACTCACCATGCACTCACTCCTGAAGGAACACTGTGCTGACATTGCAGATTCCACACTGAGTTAAGTCTGCAGCATCCAAACACACAAGTAGGAAACTGTCCATGTATTCCATTCCCTTGGTTCTAACCATCTCTGCGTTTAACACATAAGCCAATCATGCCCACAGGTGACCTAATACTGCCTCAGGCCTTTGTAAAAAAAAAATGAAAAAAATCTTCTACTTCTAATAGAACTTCTACTGGGCTTAAATCCCTGAAGAATCCATACTTTGTATGGAAGGCTCTAAGTGTTGTGCCTTGATGGAAATAAATGCACACAGTAAATGTTTATTGTGCAGTTTGCCTCCCCCTATGTTTTTCCCCTTTCCCTCACAATAACTAAAATCATATTTTAAAATCAAAGCATGAATATGTTACCAGCACACGTGGACAGGTTTACAATCTTCTGTTTTTAAAGAACAAATGACAAAAAGCATTCAAGAATATTGCAAATTTTTTTTTTACCAGACAAGTAGCAAAACTTTGTACCACCTGGAACAGAACTGCCGAGACAAAGCTCTCCACACATTTTGCTGTAAACTTAAATAAGTAACACCAATGCAAGAACTCTTCTCTTAATGGTTACTAGTGTTCAATGGAGTTGTGTAGGTCCTTGTACCCTGTGAATTACAGTTCCACGGGTGGCATAGAGACACTTCTCACAGCACAATCACATGGCTTTCACTTTGATTTGCTTCATCTTCATCTGCTTCTTCTCGAGCTTCTTCTGCTCACGGCGCAGAGCAGCTTCCTGGAGGCAAGGACAGGGATCCAAATGAGCACAGGCAATCTCTTCAAGGAACAAGCAGATCATTTCAGAACCAAACAAAGCCCTCCAGCACTGGGTTCACAGCTCACCGGGAGCCTTCTTGTGTTTCAGAAAGGAGCAGCAAACACAAATCAAAGTTGCCTCTGGTACTATACCCACAGGCAGCCCGGGAGATCTCCCAGGAGGGATCTGCCAGCAGCCTGTACCGACGTGAACACGCCTCACCTCCAGCCGACGCTGTTTCTCGGGATCCTCCTCGTTCATGATTCGCTCCTTCTCCGCCCGTTTCTTCTCCTCCCGGCGGGACTGGGCAGCCTCCTGTCTCTGCACGTGAGTCAGCTTGAGGAAGTTCTCTTCCACCCGAGCCCTGTTCTTGTCAGCTTTTTGTTTACCCTTTGCACAGAGAAAAGCAAACACAGTTTGTACTGATTTCCCCACCAGCAGGATGCGGGATCTCTACCAGTCGTACAGGAAACGTAAGGATCCAGTGGATCTATAGGACCCAGAGGTAACGGTTCCTATTCCATACCATGTCAGAAGACAGAAAAGCAGACACTACTTACTTCTCTGTTCAGCCGGAACTTCTTTGCTTTGTCAATGGAGTAGATAACCATGCTCATCAGAGGCAGCAAAGACTCCATGTCCTTTGGGGAAGTGTTGCCTGAACCAGGCACTGAAATAAAGAGTTCCTTGTTCATTCACACAGACTGGCAGTACCCGTCTGCTCGCTGTGATCCTCTTCCCTTATGGTTCACATTGTCCATGAAATAAAGATGCTCTTATCCTGCACCTTAGGAAACTTCATTTCGAGCTATAGGCATCAATTTTGAACAGATTTGAAGATCTATTCTTTTCTAGAAGTCTCCCAACAGGATGCCTTTGTGTCAAACCAGGGTAAACCAACTGAGCCTGTGCAAGTTCAAACTGCAAGGCTTGTGGTTCAAAAACAAGCCACCCTGAGAGACAGGAGTGTGAGCTGAGGTCAGTAAGAGCAAGACTGACTGTCCTGTTATCATGACAATATGCTGCTCAGTCCCCAATGTATTGCTGCCTTCTGTTTATCAATCAATGAGCCTGCTACATGCACTGAAGTCACTCATCACACATTATCTTCCACAGGTGACAGATCGTGAGCGTGTGACTTACCCAAATAAAGCCTCACCCTCCCCCAGACACACACAGAGACAACAGAGCCCTTACCATTAAATGTAAACAAAAGTGTCTTTTTAGTTTCGGGCAGTTTTGTAAGCTGGCCCTCCCTGGAGGAAAGAAACAAGTGTTTGGAAAAAGTAAAGAAAAATACAAAGTAACCAACACTGGTCTGAAAAACCACCAAGAAACAAAAGACACTTGGAAAGTAGTTGAATAAAATAAACATTAGAAGCCTGGCTATAATCCAAAGTTAAGTTTCAAACTAATTAGATTCCAGAAGTGTTTTACCCAAAAGCCTGCAGAGTAAAGGCATGAATGTGAAAACATACAGCACCAGCCCCTCTAAATGTCAAGAGGGCATGCAAGCACTACGAAGGCCTGTATATTTTGAATTACATTCAGCTTCACATACCCCCTTGTTGTTTATACCACTAAAGATGTCTAAAGATTTTAGGAGAACAAAATATTTTTTCAAGAGTTTAAATATTCACTGCACAAAATCCCACAGTATTCTAATGTGAAAATCTCAGGCCTACATTTCACAGATCCTCAACCATTTTAGGACAAGGCATACACATAAGCTGTCTTAAGTCAAAATATGCCCCTTTATGTTCATTTATTTATTTGCCTGTGAGCATAATACACAGGCATGTGCAAAAACCTACGTGGTAATTCAGATAAGACACATCACACATTGCCCACCACTTGGCAATTCAGAAGCAGCCCCTGAAAGCACCTCTGGACTAGGAGGCTCAGGGAGACAGCAGAGCTGCTGCCTGTGTACTGATGAGGCACAGCTGACAATCACCCAGCAGAGCTCGGCCTTTGTACGTACTCTTGCATAAGTTTTGGACCGGAGAACTGGTCCGAGAATTGGACAGAGTCAATCTTGTCAGCATAGTGTGTGAGGAAATGGATCATCTGGAAGAGAAACGGGTGTTAGTTTTTCCCAACACCAATCCAGCTGCAGCCTATCCACTCCACAGGGGTTTGCCAGGCTCCCTGCCCACGGCAGGGTGCTAGGACTGGATGATTTTTAAGGTCCCTTCCAACCAAGACCGTTCTACAGTTCTATATAGCACTCGGGGAAACTGCTGTGCCCAGCTTGCCACAGTGACACTGATGAAGACATGAACTTTCCCCTTTAACTTTTCCTTTTAACTTTTTTAGAACATACAGGTTGTAAATGCCAGGATTACTAAGGAGTATTTGTATTAATTCATTCAAGTTTACCTTAGCGTCCATCATTCCCTCTGTGACCTCTCCCATCTCTGACAAGATAGCCAGCGAATCTGGAAGCCCATATTTTGCACCAGACTTCGGTTTATCACTGCAGAACTCGCTCTGTTTCAAGGAGAACAATGTGAAATAAAAATAAACACAAGCCTGTAAATATCTTATTAGACTGAACTGTTCTGGAACAGAGGGACCTTCAAAAGTACCTGAAAAGAAACAATAAAAAATACACTCATTCACTCATCCTCGCTGTGGACATTTCAAAGAAAGTAAAGCACACAGCATCAACAGTCTTTAAGCTAGTATTTTCCTTCAGAAGTCAGCATTTTAAGGAAGAAGATAAAACAATTCTAATGCATACATACTGGAGCGTTCAAAGTAGATTAAGGCATTTTGCTTACATTGTTTGATAACAGAACAAAAACTGGCATCCTACCAACCACACATCATGCCATTACTTGAGAGAAAAGATTTTTTTAACATTACTTGTTAACACTGAATTCTTTGCAAGCTCTGCAATTCTTTTCATGGCTTGAACATATGTGAAGTTTTAATTTCGGATCATTTAAAAACAGATGACTTAAACAGATGACTAAATTTTCCAAATCACATATCACTAATTAAGTTTACTTTTCAATCCTTGAAGATGCCTTTTGTGCAAATGAAATGAGGTGAAGTGACACTCATGTTTGCTGACAAAAATCTGCAGCCTCTCTTAGACCAACTATAGCCCAAAAGAAAGGTGTAAGCTGCTTTACACTGCCTCTTTCCAAGCACTTCTCGTGGTTGAGTCCATTAGACTTTTATCTGTAAATGGAATTATCTTTTCCATACAAGTTCCAGTAGGTCAGTCACAGGTTTTCAGCTGTTCCCAAGAACACAATGAATATGCAGATTAGATTCTTATATGCTATTATTTATCAATGTGCATGTACATACCAGGTCCTGCATCTCTTTCTGAAGTCTCACCAGTGCTTTTCTGGTTCCAACAGCAAACACATATGTGTCCATATCTTCATCATTCATTGTCACTTTTATTTGCTGTGAAACAGAAAGCTATTAGCCCTGGTCAGATTTCAATGTTTGTCTGATACTTTGATTCCTAAGAACAAGGACTAAGCAATGACAGACCCAGCTAAGAAAAAAGTGGCAGATTTAAAGCTTTTCAGTATGTCTTAAAGCGAGGAAGCTTTTTAATTAGGCTGAGCACACCATTCAGTATTGTGCTGTAATGACAGTGACAAGAACAGCATAGTTGTAAAAATTATTTCAAATTAAATATTTTGATGTAAGTAAATACAATTATAGATGCATGGGAAGAGTATTCACAGTGCACACAGTCACTGTTCTTCCAAATGTAACCTCTCCTGGCACTTATGCTCTCTAAGAGAAGTTGGAAGGCAAAAGGTAACATTAAGAATATAATATCCAGACCAACATATGGGTTTAAGCAGTCCTATTCAGGCAGACTGAACAGACAGATGAACAATCACTAAGTATTTCAGACTGTAAAACCACTTTATCAATATGATGTCTTGAATCATGATAGACTCACAAAACCACTCAAATGATAAAATCCACAGATAAAGCAACTTCCAGTCATCAGCAGTTTGAATTTCACAGGGAGGAAAGAAATATGAACAATTCTTTGAGGTTGTTTCAATAGTTACTGAACTGGAAGATATGGAATACTACAGAAATTCCCTGGAACAATCAAAAGCAGCAGAGCAGCACCGAAGGAATGCAACAATTTATCAGAGCTAATCTGAAGGGCTGAGTACGCACCACTTGATCTGACGCCGGCCTCATCATGCGTGCCAGGACATTCAGCAGGTCCTGTCTCTTGAGAAACTAAAAACACAAGGTGGTAAACACAGAAACCAGCTGAATAGATAACAGTAAAAATCTCCTTCCTGAAATCTAACCTGAGTTTTCCCTGGGTAACCAATACAGCTCAAAAACAGGCCCTTTCTGCATTGGAGGAGTTTCTCAGGGCTTTGTTCTGTCAAGTCAGAACATGAACCGTAGGACTGTTCCAACCCAGGTCCAGGGCTCCATATTTGTCTTTGCTGTACTTCCTTGGAATTCCTGCTGGTCCATTTATTGCTCTAAGTGGCAAATGGGCTCTTCAGCCTACAGTCACCTCTGTTCACACTACACCTCTGGCTTTTATACTCTTCCTGCAAGCACTTGCTCTTTGGTGCCAACTTTAAGGGGCAGAATACAGGTCTGTACAGACCTTCAGATGACCAGATTTTCCTCATGTGTGTGTACTCAGAACTCTGTGTCTGCATGTGATCACACTTGCCAAGCTGGGATTCCATGTTGCCCACACAGGAATGGGAAAGCCTCTAGAACCCGACACCTGGTGACACAAACAGCACCACAAACTGCCTCATCCTTACCTTTAACTGGATGAGCATTCCTTCACAGCACACCCTTCCAGAGCACCACAAGTTATATATGTGTTCATTTTCTTGATTTAGTTTCCCAGTGCTTGTAGCTTCTTTATTAGTGCCATCATCCCCTGAGGAAAGGAACAGTGAAAGAACTGCAATTTAAACCTCACAAACTGAGACACCACAGTTCAGCAGAAGGCTTAAAGCTCACAATACCACAGTACAGAGAAGGATTCTCAACAGCCTAATGCCAGACTAAACCCAGCTTTATTCAAATACTAAAACCAGGTCTGTGTTATTATGGAACTCACCAACAAGAGCAAAGTTACTTTCTAGCAGCTCCCTGTGGGTGTTGAACCAAGCATGAGCCAGGCGGTTGTTTTTGTTCTTCCCGATGATGTAGTTCATGATGTAAGCCAGGAGGCCTGTTACCATCAGGATCTCCATGTAATAACTCTCCCAGCTGTTTTGAAGGTGAGCAGGGACCTGTGTAAGGGAACAGAAGCTGTGATTTACATATTGAACAAGTGGATTTTATACACACAAAAATTTGGGAAATTTGAGTAGTGGAGAAGTTCCATTCCCAACACAGCAATAAGCTCCACAAAAGAGAGAGCTAAGCCTACAGAGAGCACTTGGCTTACTGGGGCACAGTAATCCTACAGGAAACAACTGATAACAGCATTCCCAAAACACCTGCTTAATACAAAAGAAGTACTGATTTCCAAGTGAGCCTGGGCTAGCACACATCCCTCAGAGTAAACAGTCCAGCACTTCAATTCACTGAGCATTTGAGCTTGATACCCTGTCCATCACACCATTACCTGAGCATCATGTAACTTCTTTGCAAATCTAAACGCCCAATGCCCAAGAACATTCTCAGGATGCCAGCAAGAGCCACAGACTCCATGGGGCAGCAGGGAAGCCTACCTGACCTTGCCACCTCAGAGGCTAATTAGCCATTCTGCTATCACTGTACCACCTTTGAGTCATAAAAGTACCCAAATGTTAACTTTCACTGCCAAGGTCAGCTATAATACCTAAAAAGAGATCTCAGGGGTGATAAAAATGCAGACTTTGAGCACCTGATCATTCTGTGAAAGACTATTTTGGGAGGCAAAAAGGTGATGCAGGGTGGGCTCAGAGATTACCTTCAAAAACCAACAGAGTTGACCAGTTCTAATCTGACACTTAAGCCACAGACAAGCTAAAAACACACAGTGTTCATTGTTTAGTACCCCAGTGACATTCCTAGCATACTGTCTTAGGAAAATAAGTGATGAAACTCCAAACAGACACTGGATCAACAGTTATACCTACATTAACTATTGTTATGGGGTCTTTATTTTTGCTATGAGATGCATCTGGTTTCTCTTCATACCCTTCAAACTCCTCATCATCATACGGCTCACTCTCGGTGTCACCTTCCTAAAGGACGAAATCACAAACACCATGAAAATCCAAAGCCCAGCAAGTAAAATCCAAAAAGAGAAAGAGGGGCACAGAGACACTATTAGGAAACACACTGAGGAAGGAGGCAAGGCCTTACCTGTCTGTCCGCATCATCAAAGTCTTCCTGATTTTCATCCTGACCTTCAAGCTCTACAGTGGCTTCTTCTTCATCATCTTCTGTAGTGATGATCCTTTGAGGAGACTCTGTGACTGTATCTTCACTCACATCTTCAAATTCAGCAAAGTCATTATCATCATATTCCATAATGTCATCTCCATCCTCAAATTCATCATACTTTGCCAAAGAAAAGCTCCATGGGATGAACAGGACAGCGATAAAAATATATAAATTCTTCATTTTCACTGGAAGAAAAAAATTTAAATCAGTCATTGCAAAAAGTCCTCATCAATTCTGTTACATCACACTTCCAGTAATCCCCAACCCACAATGCACAAACTGGAAACGCTACAAGTCAGACCAGAAAGAGAAATAAACCTGTGCCTGATCTTGCCATCTTCTCTATAAAGAAAGCAACTACTGGTACAAGAACGAAACAGCTCTGAAGGAGAGGTGCTGGACTCTGCAGCAGCAAATTCACATCTGGCCACACTGTTCGAATGAGCTGAGATGGAAAGCAGGGATGTTCTGCTACAAAACTGACTCTCCAATAGAATCTCCCAGCCAGCTCACTTCCAAGACCACATTCTGTGTCTACAGTTATTATTAATTAGCGATTAGGCACAGTCGGAGCATTGAATGTGTAACAGCAGCAGTAAATCTTAAAATGTACTTGATTCATTTAAACGGCAGTGCTCTGATAGTCTCTGCTAGTCCAAAAGTGCTTGTCTGTGATTTCCTAGGCTGCACACTCAAAACTAAGTTCCCACAGTGTCCCATCATGATTTCTGCATAGAGACAAAGACCTTTTGTTGGAAGTTGTGCCAAAAACACAAAGGAAGAGGACAGATATTGCACTACTCCCCAGAGCAAAGGAGTAAACTGGGGCTCACGAGCCCAGAGCTCTCCCCACATTGGCCAGAACCCTGCAGAGTTTGTCAGTTCACCTTGTTTTGCCCTCAGCTTCCTGTCTCTTCTGCTTGAGTTCAAAACAGTCCCAACCTCCCCTTGAGGTTGGAGCACCTTCTCCAAGGTCCAAAAAAGGCAGCAACAACCCCCAACTGCACTTCACAACCAGGACAGAGGATCAGCTGCATCAGGCTCTGCTGTCAGGCTCATTTTACTCCCTCCCGCAACCAGATCCGAGTGGGAACCTGAATGTTAATCAGAGTGTTCTCTCACAAACTTAGAATAGAAATTATTTGTTTCTAAATTTGACCAGCATTCCTCTGAGTGCCTCATGCAGGGAACCCACTGCTATGAATGACAAGGACAACTAAAATAAACACCTTTGTCAAACACTCATCACTCCAGCAAAAACCTGCACAGAACCTTAATCAGGATGGAAAGTTCAGCAAGGCCAAGCCCAGGAATTTGGAACATTGTGTGGGAACATCACAATTTGATGTGAATTTAAGCAGAAAAAAAACCCCAAAATACTATTTTGATAGGACAGAATTGACATGCTGTTAAAAACAACAGGGCAACAGAGCCACCTGCTCGACCAAACTCTTAACATTTGACATTAAGAACTCCAAGACTATCTGAGCACATCCACCTTCAGAAGACCCAACAATTGCAAACAGCTTAATGCAAAATAAACTTCTGCAGCCAATTCGAAGGATTCAGTTGAAGCAGAGGTGGTGAGAGCTGGAGCACCCCCTTAGGTCAGCAATGGCTTCCAAGTTCAAATTCCAGGAAGCAGAATATCCTCGGCAGGCCCTCCACGACCCGCACGACCTTCCCTTCCAAGAGGAACCGATTCATTCTCCGACCTCCACACCGGCTGCGCAGACCCCATTGGCAAGAGAAAGTACTTCAACAGTCCGAGGGTAAGCATTGCTGCCGCTGCCTGTGCTGAACGTGCACAGCTCGGGCTAGCTCAGCAGATCTCGAGCTCGGTGGCACATTTCGGAGGAGCGCCCGTGCCCGGCAGGTCGGGCCCTCACCGTGACCCCCGCCCGAAGCGGGGACACCCCCCGAGGTGTTCGTTATCCCGCCGCTCCTTCCCGGAGCACAAGTCAAGGTGAGCCAGATAAAACCAGCGACCGGCCGGCCTGGGCGCAGCCCCTCTCACAGCCCAGCCCGCCGCCGCTCCTCCCGCCCGCGGGGCGCGGCACAGGCCGCGCACGCCCGGCGCCCTCCGCGCCAGGCCGCCCCTCCCGGGACCGTGCCGGTACCGCGTTACCGGAGCCACGGGCCGGGCCCCGCGCTCCGCCCGCCGTACCGGGGCGCCTGCGCGGTGCGGACCCCGCCGCATGTGCGGGGGTGTGCGGTACCCACGCGTGGGCGGGGAGCAGCCCAGCCCAGCCCTGCAGCGCGGGAACCACCCGAGAACCACCCCGGGCCCACCGGGGAAGCAGCGCGGCCGCGGGGCCGCCCTGGCGTTACCGTCCGTGGGTTTCGCTGCCGGGGTCCCGCGCCCGCCTCTGCCCGGCCCCAGCGCCCTCACTGCCCGCCGCTTCACCGGCGGGCGCTGCGCGTGCGCCGCGGCACGCGCGTCACTGACGCACGGCGCGCGGGCACGTCGGCGCGTCCGTCCCCACCCCCGCCCCGGTAACCGGGGAAGTGGCGGCGGCGGCGGCGGTGAGTGCGGGCGCTGAGGGGCGGGTGGGCAGTGGGGCCGGGCCAGAGCCTGCCTCGCCGGCCTGCGGGGCTGCTGGCGGGCGGCACCCGCCGTAGCCGCGGCCTGCAGCGGGCGCGGGCAGCCCGGGCCTGCCCCGCACAAAGGGCCCGCCCCGCACCGCGGGTCCGCGGCGGGAAGGGCCCCGCGCAGGGCCCGGCGTGCCGGACAGGGCCGGCCCGCGGCCCCGGTCCCTGCCGGCCCTGCGGACGGCGATCCCGCGGGCGGGGGTCCCGCCGCCCTTCCCCCTGGACCGGGAGCGGCGGGGGCGGCGTGTCCGCCGCTCCCGGGCTCCGCGTCCCGCGAGGTTCCCCCCGCGGAACGGCGGCCACAGGGCAGCGGAGCCCGCGGGGTGTTCCTGTGGTCTCCTGTGGGAACCTGTTCGCTCGCTGCTGGCGAGTGGGCGAACTGACCGTGTTTTGTACTTCTGCTGCTGTATGACAATAAAAAAGTGCTCCTCCTTATTTTTTGAGGTGGCAGAGGTGGGGGGGGGAAAGGTGGATAGGTACAGTGAAGAAGAATTCTTACAATCAGATTTTAACTTAGTTTTCAAAGGTTCCCACTGTGCTGTCGTAGCCAAAATGAGGTTCCACCTCACACCCCTCCATTGTACTTTTTGATCTCCCAGTGCCACGGATCCGCAGCTGTAAAAGCTACAGGGTGTCAGGACAAGAGGGAAAACAGGGCTCCATGGTCAGCTGCTGCCGTGGAGAGCTGAACAGCAGTTTCCCCCGAAATCCACTCCTGAGCTTTGGTCTTGACTCGAGATTTATTGAGCAAGCCCCAAGCTGGTAAATGTTCAGCACAGGGACTGGCTGCACTATTTACCTTCAGATTGTTTTGAAGTTGTTTTTTTGCTAGTGAGTTCTGATCTCACTGAAGATTCTCAGTGTGAGGATTTGTTTAGTAAGACTTGTAGCGTTTGGACAGTCAATTATAATGCATTGGAAAGCTGTGAGTGTCTTGCTCTCTTTCCTGCCTTACAGGTATGATTTGCTTGACCATGCAGGTAACTAAATGACTCAAGAATGGAAACTGTAAATATTAGTATATCAGTTCAGTCATCATCTTAAAAATTCAAGTTCTGGGCAGACACTGTTATGTGGAGTGTTTAAAATATTGTTTGAAAAACAGAGATTGGGGAGCACATCAATATGTATACGTATAACAAATAGAGACGTGTGGCTGAAGGTGGTTTGAGAGGAAAGGGAGTTGGCTTTTGGCAGAGATGTGCTGGGGCTCACACGGGACGTTGTGCTGCTCTGGGGCCATTTCTCTGGAGGCTGCTGGGTTGCTGCAGTGAGGTATTGACAAGCCATGAAACACTTACAGATGCCACAATGTGGACATGCAGAATATGCTGAGCTGCCTTTTCATCTCTTCTTCCTCCTGGTGTTCAACGTTCTGGCCTTAGGTTTGTTTGTCTTAGACTGCAAACAGGACAGGTAACGTCTTAAATGTATTTAAGTAATCCTTGAAGGACACAACCTGTTTTGGAAGACAACCACTCTGTTTTTATTCTTTTTTGGAATTGTGGGTGTATTCATACTGACAAAAGACCAGAGCCCCATCCTTTTTGGGAAACAGATTAAACTCTTATCACTCAGCGTTCCACAAGTCCCTGTGTCATGACTGAAGTGACCAACTAACAAGAAAAATCATAACAATTACCTATAACTGCCTGAATCAGAGCATTGATTTGTCCTTTCTTGTTTTAACAGGTATATCAGGGACATCATGAATTGGAATAAAGGTGGACCTGGTACAAAGAGAGGCTTTGGGTTTGGTGGCTTTGCCATAACACCTGGCAAGAAAGAGGAGCCCAAGCTGTCTCAGCAGTCCCACAGTGCTTTCGGCACCGCCGGCTCCTCGGCAGCATTTGCGAAATCGGGGCCTCCTCAGCTGCCTTCCTTCTACAAAATTGGGTCAAAGAGAGCCAATTTTGATGAGGAGAATGCGTAAGTATAGTTACTTCTTGTGTTTACATAGCTCTAGATTTTAATGTTTTTGTGTTTCTGAGGTTAGAGGAAGTATCTGTGACATTTATATAAGCAAATACGGAATAATATACTTAGAAGACCGTGAGATGCTACGGTAGCCTGCAGAAGCTTTACTCCTCCAGCTTTCCCCTCTGGAGAACATATTTTATTCACTCTATGGTCTTCTCAGAGTTGGAGCCAAGTAGGATAAATTGGGGTGTCTTTTGCACAGGAAAACATTGATCTCCACAGTTCTTTACTAACCTGTCTCTTGGCTACATAAATGTATAAATAAGACAGAGAAAGTTGGGATTATTCATCTGGAGAAGTTTGGGGCTGACCTAATTGTGGCCTTCCAGTACCTAAAGGGAGCCTATAAGAAAGATGAAGAGAGACTCAATTTTATTATATCTCTTTGCCCTGCCATCACTTTGAACTTTTAACATGAATAATTGTAAATAAATAAATCTTGACATCTTCTCTTGTGTCCATACTGACTTCTGTTGTCCATGTGAGTACCTTGACTCAATCCAAAACAATGAAAGACAGTACAGTGCTGTAAGCCATGTGCTGACTGGGCTGTTGATCACTTTTTTCAGGTACTTTGAGGATGAAGAGGAAGATTCCAGCAATGTGGAATTGCCCTACATTCCTGCAGAGAATTCCCCCACCCGCCAGCAGTTCCATTCCAAATCGGCGGACTCTGACAGCGATGATGATCCTCTGGAGGCATTCATGGCTGAAGTGGAGGCAAGAGCCAGCTTGGGGCATGTTTATTCAGTGTTGTGGCTGTACCTGTGTGCAGTCGGGGGTAGCAAATGTCACTCAGGGCTTTGGCAGCTGCAGTCAAAATGCCACTTAACTTTGCAGTGTTAGTTAGACCTCAAAAATTAGATAGACAGAGAATGGATATCACTTACAGTAACTGTGTAACTGCTTTGAGGATGTCAGAACAATACCACATAGAGCTCTGCTAGTTTCTGAATATCAAACTAAGGTTTTCTGTGTTTTTCACTACCTAAATGGAAATTGTTTGTATTTATGATGAGCTGATTTTTGGCTACAGTTCTGTTATTAGTTGGATTCAGGAAGAATATGGGAAATTATTTTTTTAATGGCACTGTCACAAGCTTAGAGTAGTATATAAACTCAAAGGTAGTAGTAGGAGAATTTATTTAACATAATCAGATACAGAACAAGATGAAGATTAGTCCAAGAAGTGTTGTCTCTGTGACATAATGGTTTAATTATCCAGGAATATGTTTCCCTCCCATGTTTTACCATCTTGGTCTTTTTAACATGTGACAACTTTATGACCTGCTAGGATCAAGCTGCTCGAGACATGAAGAGACTGGAAGATAAAGACAAAGAAAAAAAGAACGTTAAGTAAGTTCTCTTTTATCATTCCCATGCCTGCCTTGTCTTGTGTGGTGCTCAGAGAATCCCAGTGCATTTTGTTGATGATCAGTAACCTGTGCATGAGATGCTGTAAAAATAGGATAATAGGGAAGAATCCATGGCAGCATCCCATGGCAAACTGCAAGAACGCTGAGAGTTCTCCCACGCAAGAAGCCTTTCTAGGTCACAGAAATCGGGGCAACACGCTGTACTCCTGCCACTTTCCAGATCAGCCTGGATAGTTTTTCTGCTTCCCACAGCCTTGGAGAGATCAGAATGGTTTAGCTTAAAATTGCATTTCTGTGAGCAAAACAATTCGGTGCTGCTGTACCTGGACTACTGGAGACTCTTCTAAACTTGGACTAGGTTTTAGACATTAAAGCTGATAGATCAGGTAGCACATGATGATCAGGGTACTACATTTGGAGTTTAAAACAGTTTAAATTCGTGTAGCTTATCTATTTGTTTTGATTAAGGAAAGTAATTATGCTGTTGATTCTTGATAGACGTGTCAGATATATTGTAGAAGTTACATTGCATGGGATTGATCAGATTATACATGGACCTGACACAAAACACCGGATCCAAATCACCACCTGGGGAAGTTCTGAACTGGATTTGCACTTTCTGGCTCATATTCCTCTTCAGTTATGGGACTTCTGTAGCATCAAGAGCTTAGACCAGGATGATCTTTGATGTGGCTT